CATCCTTGCCCCGCCCCCAAGAGAGTCATCCTAGCCACGCCTCAAGCCCCCTCGGGCAACCTGACCCCGCCCTGGCCACGCCCCCTGTACTCCTTCCCGGCCCCTCCCGGAGCACCCGGATCCGACCCGCTCCTCCCCGCTTCCGCCCGTCTCCCGGCAACAGCGGCCCGCCCCACCATGGCGCCAGAGGAGAGCGCTGGGAACTTGCTACTGCTGCGGAGTTTCGAGCGCCGCTTCCTGGCAGCGCGTCCCCTGTGCTCCTTCCCCTGGCAGGTGAGGGGGCGCGCGGGGTGGACCTCCGGGGCGGGAAGCGGGGACCTTGCAGTCCGCTCCCCCGAATGAAGGAGGAGGATCTCCTCCCGCTGGTCTTTTCAGTTGGGTCTCAAGGGTCCCAGAGAGTTCATGACTGTATCCATGGTCTTCTAGGCAATCGAGCACCTTGGTCTTTGGCACACAGGTACCCTCGCCCACCTTGAAAAGAACCGTGCTCTCTTGAGTGCGGAAACCAGGTCGCGGCGCCATCACCAGTGTCGCCATCCCAGTGTCAGGCATTGGGCAACACCATCTCAGAGGCAGCCTGGAGGGAAAGAGACCTCTGATGGGCGCCCACACGCACCCTGGGGACCGGTGGCTCTCGTCCCGGGCGAGTGGCCCCTGTGTCCGCGGAGGGACTTACAGACCATGCCTCGTGTATGAGTCAGTTTGGATAGATAGTCCTCCAAGGTCTGCCCCATCCTAGAGGCTGATTGTTAATCATTTGTGTTATTCCATCAGCACAAAACATGCAGCACTCATTCCTGTCAAGAGAAATGTGCATTTTTAAACTCATAATTGAAACTGTAGTGGCATCCATAGGTCCTGATTCAATATCACATAACATTAGGCATTTACAGCTAAATGGATGCACATTGAAACGATACTCTTTAGCGAAATAAATAGGACACGTGTAAATACCGAACAGTTTCTCAGTGTGAGAAGCTGAAAGTATAAATAAGAAATAAAAGGTATAATAGATAATGTGAAATAGGAAGAGAAGGTGCAAAGGGGAAGGGTAGGGGAAGACAAAGAGGGGAATGGAGGAAAAGTAGGAACTAAGATGGGTTACGTGAATGTGCAAATTTCCAATGATGCCTGTAATTATATTGTATACCTTAAATGTACCAATAAAATTAATTTTGTAAAATACCACATACCAGTGTTCTCATGCCTGTGTCAAGGGCTTACTTAGCCTCGCCCCAATGCCCAAGAGATAGGGTCTATGTTATCACTTAGGCCAAATCCCATATATGCTGTGTGGCTGTGAACAAGTAACTACATCTCTCTGCACCCTCATTTTTAATTAGTAAAATGAGGGATATAATGATACTAATCTCACAGGGCTATTGTCAGGATTACCTTAGTACAAAAGCTTTTGGATCAGTGCCTGGCTAGTATCATACAGTTACCCAACCTTCACTGAATGCCTTCTATGAGATAGACACCAGGGATCAGCAGTACAAATTACAGATGAGGCCCTGCTCAGATAAGAAAGCCAATGAACAAATAAACCAGAAAATGGCAGGAGATGAATGGCCATAAAGCAAATCATACAGAGAAATGCAAAATGAAGCCAATGGGGGAAACTCATCAGAGTAGAGGAGTCAGAGAAGGCCTCCCCAGAAAGGCAGCATTTTGAACTAAGATCTGAACAGTGATGCAGAAAGTGCAAAGGCCCTGTGGTAGGAATAAGCCTACCATGTTTAAGGAGCAGAAAAGGGGCCAATGTGACTGGGGTAGAGTTAGCAAAGATGGGATAGGTTGGCCAAGCCTTGAAGGGCCTTTCAGAGCATGGCGAGTACCTCTGGAGAAAAGAAGTGGCTTGCCCTGCATCATAGCTAGGACAGTCTGTCTGACTGGAGTACAGCTATGCTGAAGTCCTCCATATAACAGGACAACATGGCTGGGTCTAGCATCTACACATTCTAAGTCTCCGGTTTTAACCTAGTTGTCAGGTCCCAGGCAAGCCTTGATGCTGAGGCTCCCGATTCCTGGCTCATCAGTTCAGCCAAAAGCTGCTCTGTGATACAGGTGGCCCCTGAGAAGCCAGGGAGACTGTAAATCAGGAATTAGCCTGACATTCTCCCCTGACTCGGCCGGTGTGACCTGTGACATCGGAAGGTCAGGCTTCAGCCTTCCATGGCTTCCCCTGCCCAGTGTCTCCAGGTCCCCAGGGAGTGATCACTTAGCGCTTGGCCTGCATGTTCCACTGCATGTTCAGTGTCCTTGAGAGTTCTCTCTCTCTCTCTCTCTCCTCCAAACAGAGCCTTGAAGAAAAATTAAAGGAATCACCAGATCCTGAGGTACTGCGGGAAATTTTACAGAAGGTAAGAACCCTGGAATCGCTGGGATGAGTAACCTGGCCCCCAGCCTGCCCTTGAACGCATGGCAGAAGAGCCACAAGTGTACAGACACCCACACTCAAAGAACAAAACCATCTGAGTCCACGCTGTGTGTGGGTATCAGCACTTAGATGGCTCTGACTCTTTTGTTTTCTTGGATAAAGACATCAGAATATACAAAAATCTGCATGAGAGGAGGAAAGGTAGGGGATGTTTTTAAACCATCTGCAGTGAAAACAGAGATGACGGGTGTGGGGAGAGATTTGAGCGTTTGTGAGCTGCTTAGAGAGTTCTTTGCATTGACAGCAATGTGTCTCTAGGACAGAGGTGGGCCCTGCCTTGATGGAGGTGGGGTTTGACTGAGGCGCATCACCCAGCCTTGCCTCCCCTCACACTGACTTCGGCTGTGGGGATCAAAGCAGATCACAAAACACCCTGGACCTCAACTTTTTTACCAGTCATAGCCTTCTGAAAGGTCAAAGCTGCGGTCTCCCTTCCAAGAAAGAAGTGGCCAGAAGAATATGTCTTCATACAAATTCAGAGGAGGCACAGGCATTTACAGCTTGCTACCACAGCTGTCCTAGGAGCCCACATCAAGAATTCCTGTGCTAGTGGGTGAGGCTGGAGAAGATGTTGCCAGAGCAGAGGAGACCTTGAGGGTGATACAGCTGGTCAGGGCTGAGTGAGGCAACGTCTGTGGTTTTGGTCTCGCAGCCTAGTGATTTCCACCCGGAGCAGCTCACCCAGATAGGAAGAGTTTAAAGCACAGAGAGTCACCTTAAAACCTAAAAATAGGTTTGAGGCCAACCTGGGCAACTTAGTGAGACCCTCTCTCTAAAACAAAAAACAAAAAAGCTAGGGGTTGAGCTCAGTGCTTCCTATCCTAAATCCCCAATACTACAAAACAATCATAATATAATTATTTGTCAGTTAAACCTATGTAAAGTTGGAAATAAATGAATCCTAAGCCAGGCCCACTAGACAACCTCGCCCTTGGAAAGTCTGCATCCCTCCCATCCAGCAGCCCGCTTTCCTCCAGGCCCATTGCCTTCCACCTTCCTTGCCGAAATGCCAGGCAGGGGCAGCCTCAGCACTTGCCCCCCTGTTCTGCTGCTGTCTAGAGCTCCATCCTCCTGCCCTTGGCTTCTGGAGGCTTCAGGGGAGGCCTCAGTCCTGAGAGCCCTCCTCCCCCCCTCTCCATGCGGAGAAAGCCCTGTCGGTCCTGTTCGGTTGTCACCTGACCCTGCTTCTCCGCCTGGGGCTGGCACTCCAGGAGGGCAGATACTTGATGGACTGCTGCCCACTGTTAGGCCGTTCTCTTTTCCTGCAGAGCCGGGCTCGCTAACAAGTGTCCTCACTACAGTCTCCAGTTCCCACCAGCCACACTGGAGCCGGAAGCTGCTCCCCGTGGGGTGTTGACATTTTCACAAAAGAGCTTGTATCTTAGGACTTCGTCTTGCAGATGCTTGTGGTATACCTGGCCATGACTCCGTGTCTCCGCACGTCTCGGCCAAGGCCCTAGTAACTGGTTTCACCCTCTAATCTCACATAGCCCACAGGATACTTAAGACAAAGTCCCTCCAGCAGCCATTTGTGTCCTTCATCACAGACTGTGAATCATCCCGTGTGCGCTCAGCACCCACCCTCAGGGAAGTACACCCGGTGCTTTCTCTTGGAGCTCATCAGAAAGGTCAGTGCGGGCCCCGTCTGCCCAGTCTCTGATTGGGCTTTGCCTCTCAAAGCTCATTCCCATCCCTGTCCTTTCCCTGCTCTACGAACCCCTGTGGCAGCCAGCTGCTGGAGGGGCAAGGATGCGGAGGGAGGGCAAGGCTCTCAGCAGCAGCTGCGTCTCCTCCGGGGTCTCCTGCTGCCCCCAGGAAGCTGCCTTCATCCCTGCTGCCTCCCAGCCCTCTTGCCAGTCTCTAGGTGGCTCTCCGGCCCCCGCTGGAAGTCCGAGCTTTTGCAGTACCATTGTAACCAGTTCCCTTGCTAAATTCTCCCCACTGAGCTCCTGACTAGGCTCGTGTCCAGAGTGTTACAGGCTGTAACCTGCTGGGTTCAACCAACACCAGACAGACATCAGAGGGGATTCCTCCATGGGCGGTAGCAGACCTGTTTCACCAACCACCGGACAGAAAGGCCACACTGGTCTTAGCACACACAAAATCCTTGCTGCTCTGTCACTCCCACCCCCAGGCCCCACCAGGAGAAGGGTGGCCAGGCATCAGCGAGTCCTGCACTGCTCCAGGAAGGGTGTGACACAGGGTGGAAACCCACACCCTGCAACATGGCACACCCGTCCTTGTGGCTTCTGCCAGGGCCAATTTAAAAACTGTTTTCCATCTAAAATTGCCAGGGCTGCCCTCCAGTCGCTCGTGGCTCTCATGGAATTTGTGTGCTGCACTAACCCCTCTATACCTTTCTTTGAGGTACCCCCTCACCACTCCCAACAAGTGAATTTTTTATATGCCAGGTGCCTTCTGTTCATCCCAGATGTCTCTCTAAATTATGTGAAAATTGGACTGAGGGTGTAGCTCAGTGGTAGCGCGTAAGCCTGGTACTCACAAGGCCTTGGGTTCCAAACCCAGCACCACCAATGTGAAAATCATCCAGCCATGTTCACAGATCAGAGCAAAGGCACACAAGCAGAATCTTGGTGTTATGTACGATGATCTCTGTCCACCCTCAGCATGAGGCTGCCCACACAGAGCCGTTGGACGAGCTGTACGAGGCGTTGGCAAAGACCCTGACTGCTGAGGGCTCCACCCAGTGCCACCGGAGCTATTTGCTGGTATGAGACGCACCCCCTCCTCCCCTCAGGCCACCTCTCCACTTGCGTCATCCGAGGACGTTATAGACAGAACCATGCAGCATGTGACCTGAGATTGGCTGCTGCTTTTCCTCCGCAGGACACCCTTGAGACCCACCTGCTTGATGTATCTGTCCACGGTCCCTTGCATTACTGAGGGGTGTTCCCCAGGGTGGAGGTAGCATAGTTTGCTTAGCCGGCCCACCCTTCAGGACTTGTACTGCCCCCTCACATCCTGGTTCCTGGGTTCCTTCTCCCGCCATCTCTTGGCACAGCCTTCAGGAACCCCACTCACACTCTCTGAGAGCACGGCCATCGTGTCCCATGGCACCACAGGCCTGGTCACTTGGGATGCTGCCCTGTACCTCGCAGAATGGGCCATCGAGAACCCAGAAGCCTTCACTTACAGGTGACCTCAGGCATAGTAGGGTAGGGCACTGAGGCGGGTGAGTCCTGGCATGGTCACAGACTCAGGACTTTCTTTCTCCCACCCAGGACTGTCCTCGAGCTGGGCAGTGGAGCCGGCCTCACGGGGCTGGCCATTTGCAAGATGTGTCACCCCAAAGCATACATCTTCAGTGACTGTCACAGCCGTGTCCTTGAGCAGCTCCGAGGAAACCTGCTGCTCAATGGCCTCTCGTTAGAGCCAGATGCCACCACTGACCCGGAGAAACCGCTGGTGATGGTGGCCCAGCTGGACTGGGAGGTCGCCACTGTTCCTGAGCTGTCTGCCTTCCAGCCTGACATTGTCATCGCAGCAGGTAACGCCCAGTCCAGCAGGCTGAGTGTGGGACTGCCTTGCAGGTCTGGGCTCGGGGAGCAGGGAGCTGAAGCAGGAACTCCCAGGGCCTCTCCCTGACCTCAGAGCTTCAGTGCCTTCTGAGTATCTGGAAGCCACAGCCCCGCTCTGATGACAAGCATGCCCCTCTGGTGATGACTCTTAGATGAATGACCCTGCTGTCCAAGCAAGGCCTAAAATGGGCAGAACAGGTACAGGGCACCAAGCCAGTCTAACCCTTCACCCAGCTGCAGCCCGGCCAACTCCATGTCCCTCTCAGTGCCCCAAGAGGCCACTCAGTTAATACCCAGTTCCCATGGATGGACCACACACCAGCCCTAGCCACCCCACCTGAGATGCCATCGTTTCATTGCCAGGGTGCCATCACCCAGTACTCAGATGAGGGATGACACTGGACACAGCAGCTCTGGGTCATTGTAGGGCACGGAGCAGTGTGCTTCTCCCAGGCCGTCTCTCTCACTGCCAGCTGCCAACACCCAGTCCTGAGCAGGACTAGGGTGAGACCACAGGAGTCAGACCAGGCAAGAAATGGGAGCAAAATGGCTCCTTCTTGCCAGTGCTGGCTGATCCACTGTTTCTGTGACTCAGTGTCATCACCGTATTATGTCCCTGGCTTCCCCCTGCACCTCTCTGTTCTAGATCCACGCTCGTGTCTTTCAGAAACCACAGGAGGGAGCCAGCCACTTCTGGTACAGGGATGGGATACCAGGAGAGGTTGGCTGGGCCACCAAAGGCCCCTTAGCCCACTTCCCACTCAGCAGTGCTCGGCCTCTGGTCCTGGATCCTACTGCAGTCAGGGACACCTGATCAGCAGGTGTGGGAGACCTAGCCCTACTCTGCAGCTGAGGGAACCTGCCACTTGGTTCTGAACCCTAACAGGAGGCCCTTTGAGTAACCAGGCTTTTCCTTGTAGATGTGCTGTATTGCCCAGAGGTGATCCTCTCACTGATTGGAGTCCTGAAAAGGCTTGCAGCCTGCAGCAGAAACCGAGCTCCTGACGTCTATGTGGCCTACACCACGCGCAACCCAGAGACGTGCCAGCTGTTTACCACCGAGCTAGGTGAGCCCCGGACCTGCAGGCCACTGTGCTGTCCCACGAGGGCTCCAGGAAAGTCTGAGGAGGAGGCCCTAACCGCACATAAGTGCCGGGAACAGAGGCAGGGCCAGTGAGCAGGCAGGTGGGAGGCAGCTGAACATGGAGGCTAAGACCAGCAGCCCTACAATGTGTTTCAGCTTTCATAAGCTGCAGGGTCTTTTTCCTGATCTGTAAGATGCAGGTGGTGGGAGACACCAGTTGGCATCAGAGCTGGAAAAGGTCCTGGCCCCAGAGGTAACTGAGTGCGGGTGCTGGAGGTGGATCCCACCTCACCACTCCCCTCCATGCACCTGTCTCATCTGCTCCATAGTGACATCACCTCAGAGACGCAGCCTGTCACACTCGGACCATGCCCAGAACACAGGGCACACACAGTGTGGGAGCTGTGGTCATGGGTACCCAGTAAAGGAAAAGAAGGCTGTAGAGAGGGCTAGGGGGCCGACTATTTGCACGACCCTTAAATGGCACCACAGCGGGCCAGGCACCATCCGCAGGCCTGTCACCTGTCAGCCACCACACCTGGGAGACCTGCCATCATCCTGGGTCGCCTAAGAAGACCCGGGGACACGGGGAAGCTAGGGAACCATGGAAGCCCCATGGACTGCAGCCAGACACCACCCAAACCCACCTCCTGGCAGCCTGAGCACAGCAGGCCCACCCAGGGCACTTCACGTGGAACCCAGTGGGTGCAGAGCCACCGCAGCAAAGCCTCTCCTAGCTGTCCACAGGCTCTGCAGGCAGGGAGTCACATGCCACCCAGATGCACATCCATGCAGGGCACACACATTAATCACGGAGCAAACAAATGAGCTCCCAGTACTCACGGGGAGGACAGTACAGCCCGGAGAGTGAAGTTCTCCTTGGGTGTTTATGCAGAAAGGTACCTCAGGTATATTTTAAGTGTAAGAAGCAAAGTGCCAAACAGCACATATAAGCCTGTTTTTTATTCACTGTCTACGTGGGAGTGGGAGTGGGAATGTATCTCAGCAGGTAGAATACTTGTCTTAGCAGGCCCAAGGCCCTGTGTCCAATCCCCACCACTGCAAAAAAACAAATCTGTCTTCATTACTGGACCTGAGGGAATTTCTAAAATATACACCGAGCAACAGCTCTTACACTGGATGGTGGGATCAGACCCTTCCGTACTATTTCATTTTTATAAATGCTAACTTTTCATGCATAACAAAAACTATGTTAAGAAACTATCCTGGCAGGAAGCTCCCCAGGCTGTGCGCATACAGATGACACGAGCCCTTTTGGCCTTGGGAAGGAGCGCGGGCAAAGAGGTCAGGCAGATGAGGGTTCACTTCTCAGCTCCTCTCCTGTGCCAACTGACAGGGTGGACAAATACGGGAGCAAAAGGGAACCTGGACAGGCCGGGTGAGGCGTGTGGCCACAACTGGATGTCACTGCCACTGACCCCTGGCTCCTGGTCCTACCCTGGAGCTGCCTGCCTACCCTGGGCCTTGAAATCTATGAACCAAGCAAACCAGCTGGGACACAGGCCCAGCCTGTCCTAACTGCTCTGCGCTGTTAAGATTCCTGCTCTGTCCTCAACACCACCACCACCATCATCCCACGCATGTGCTGTGTTTCCAGGCCACGCCAGGATCCGGTGGGAAGTGGCGCCTGCTCACCAGCAGAAGCTGTTCCCATATGAAGAGCACTCGGAGACATCAATCCTGAAAATCACATTGTAAGGCTCACAATGGTTTGGAAGACGATTATGAAAATTAAGTCAGTATTGTGGCAAGAGTTTTTCATGTAGGAAAACTGATAAAACTTTCTTTAAACTTGAATGTCTAAAGAATGTTAAATTCCAAATAAGGAACCCCAACCCATTACGATGAAATATAAACTGCAAGTATGTGAGTGCCCTCTTTCTGTGCACAGTTCTGGTTCATAATCACCACCCATCAGGAACACAGTTTGGCTCAAAGGCAAAATTTTGTTTGTGCAAATAAACATATTTATCAAGTCTGATTCCCCAGCCTGAGCACTCAGCCCCTCACTAAGCCAAGACACCTGAATTCATGTCTGGCTGGCTTAGAGAGCAGGCCGTTTGCAGGCAGGAGTCAGGGCTGGAGAAGCTCAACACAGCTGGGAGAAAACAAAAAGCCAGCCACAAAGAGAAGCTGGAGGGGTCACCGGAAGTATCAGAAAAGTAATACGCTTGGAACAGAAGAAAGGAGTGATTTCAGAGCCTAAAGAGACCACGATGGATCCGTCTCCTCATCATTCCCCAGGCAGCCCCCACTGCTATCCTGGCTTCTGGCCACTGCAGGGGTGCTGCTCAAAAGCAGAGAGGACAGGTGGCTGCCGGTGGGGGTGCACAGGAAGGGTGCATCTTCTGGGTGGACAGGCGGGGCTACGCCTCCACCACCAGCACAACCCACTGAGGCAGGGACTTTGGTCACAGGTGGGCTCACGAGTCCACAACCAAGGGGAGCACAGTCCTCTGCCAGCTCTTGTGCCATCGAAGCTGCTCTGACTCCCGCAGGTTCTTCCGGAGCTGGTTCAGTTTGCCAGCAGGATCAGGAAACTTGGATAAAAGCATCTACAGGAAAATAAAGCTCAGAAGATAGCTCATCAATACTCCCCACCCGTGCTCGGGCCTTCCCCTTTTAGACCCAGCTTCCCATCTGCCTGGCTGACAGCTCTGGTCATAAGATGCCCACACAGTAACACCTGCCCCAAGTCCCCACTGCCTTCCTAGGCCTTCAAAGGGGGCCTGTCTTCTAGTTTCCCACACCCCGGGACCTGGAGTGCACCTGGCCCCGGCCTGCTGTTCTCACACCCACCAGCAACTTCCACCAGGAAGGAGCAAACCCTGTCTGGGTTTTACTAAACTGTCTATATTAGGATTAGCAAACTAGAGCCCACAAGCCAAACCCAGCCGCCCTGTCTTGGTAAGTAAAGTACTGTTAGAACCCAGCCCCTTCACTAGATAGCAAGCAGCCGCTTGCACTCTGAGCATGAATAGCTCTCAGACGCAGGACAAAGTCTGAAATGTCTTCTAGCTGGACCTTTACAAAAAATGTCTGCAGATCTTTCAATTGTCCAGAATGACAGTGTGTTAATTTGTATAACAAGAAAGAAGTATGCCCTGTAGAATCCTACCCTCTCCCAAAGCCAGTCTGCAAAGCTCCATTTTGCGAGCCTGCTCATTCCCTAAGTGGCAGCACGTCCACCTTCTGTGTGGTGTCAACTCCACAGACCCACTCTCCCGACCCTCCTGCACCCACTGGCTGCATATATGGCAGCCCAGAGCTCGGGAGGCCACCTCTGGGGTTCTGCTCCCTCCCTGCCTCCCTCCGCTTTTCTTCCAGACCAGAGAGTCCCACCATTCCACAGGAATGGAGCACAGGAAGCTTACTCCATACCCTCCAAGCCACAGCATAGGCAGGCATGTTACCTGCAGCTGAGATGCCAGTTCCTCTGCGTCCTCAAAGACCAGGCCATTTTCTCCATGTTGCACCAGCTCATGTAAACTACGGAGAGAAGCAAAGGAGGCCTGAGAGCTGCCCAAGAGGATCCCAGGCGCTGTGGTGTCCAGCTGGGCCTCTGGCTCCCCACCCCACTCAGGTTGTAGGCTGAGGTCAGGGACCATAGATTTGGCTCAGTGAGACTGCCCTGGGATCTAGCGTTTGTGTAGAACAGGCCTGGAGGACACATGTCACAAGGCCAGCCCATGTGGAAGGACAGATGTCACAATGCCAGCCACCCCAATCTGGAAGGGGCCCTGGGAGAATCTGGCCCTTATATATCCTTCACTCTTCAAGGAAAACATATCCTAGGATCGTTACTGCATCTTTCTTATACTCCTCGCCCTGAGCCAGGCCAAGGCGGGCCCCTGGAAATGACTTTCTAGGGTCACCAGCAGGTTGACCCCGACAGACCTGAGCCCACACCAGCATCCAGCATCTTGACCTTCCATCTAGTGATGGTTCTCTGAGCAGGTGGACACATGGCCTATTGGGGCCACCGCTTTCAGAACTCCATCTGCCACTGCCCTTTCCAATACCAAGCAAGACTGAGTCACAGAACTACAGTCCCCTGTTTGATCCCAACTCAGCCACACGAGCTCAACTGAAAAGGATGTGGGGGTGAGAGGAAACCACATATACTGCACAGCAATTCCAGCCATTCTCTTTTATGAGCACAAGACAGGCTTATGTTTAACACATGCAGGTTGCTAGTCACATGAGCCAACTACAGTTGTTCCTCAATGTCCATGGGGACCCCCGATGTTCCTGTTCCCTATGTAAAACGGTATAATATCTGCACACAACCTGTGTGCGTCCCTCTTGAAATCTTAAATGCTTTCTAGGTGATGCATGATACCTAATACGCTGTATTGTTTCGGAAACAAGGACAAGAGAAAAGTGCACATTCAGAACAGCTGTGAACCCCACAGGTCTGGCTATGCTGCTGATCCCCAGTTGGTTGAAGCCATGGATAGCTAAACCACTGATAAGGAAGACTGACTGTCCTCGTGGGGCTCAGCCCAACCACAGCAACCACAAGGGCCCTGACCCTCAGCCACTCTCATTGCCCTGGAGGCAGCACCCTGCTGGGGCGTCCCCCGCAGCTCTAGCTGTGCTACCCACCTCAGCTGCTGATCTGAGGGCCTGACCTCAGGAAGGCCCAGGTCCGCACCTACCATTTGAAGTTCACAGCGCACACAGGCAAGCAGCACCCGAACATGTCCACCACCTTCATGGGCAGGTCCAGACCGCTGGAGGACTTGTGCAGGCAAACACCCAGGTCCGCTGAGCCTGGGGACCAGGGGTGGGTGGTGAGGGCACTGGGAACTCCTGCCCCTGTGGCCATGCAGCAACTCCTCCCTCAAGGAGTAGAGATCACAGAACATCCCCAACCATCAACGTATCCACCCAGAGAGGTACCCAAACACAAGTAGCCAGGCAGGTGGGAGGGACAAAGAGATCGCAGTGCTGCCCACCTGCCACCAAACATTCCGGCCCTAGCAGAAAATGCCTCTATTTTTATTCAAGCTGATTGTGCTGGAGATTAAGCCCAAGGGCTCTCTACTACAGAGCTATATCCCCAGCCCATCTTACTTTTTTGAGACAAGGTCTAAGTTTCCCTGGTGGACCTCAAACTTGTGATCCTCCTGCCTCGGGCTCCCTAAATGCTGAGACTACACCTATGCACCCCTAACAGCCAGCTTCAAGTTGACTCACTTTTTTCTTTTAGCCACAATTTATTTTACAAACTGGGGAGGAAGCTCAGTGACAGAGCGCTTGCCTAGCATACACAAAGCCCTGTGTGCCAGCCCCCATCAAAATATTTCTATAGAGGTGATAAGACATTTGGACAGAGGGAGTGATGATCACACAGCTTTGTGAGTGTAACAAATGCCACGGAGTATACACTTAAAGTGGCTAAGATGGAAATTTTGTTGTTTTACTGCAGCAATTTTAAAAGATGTACCCCTGATAAAAAGCAAAAGTATAATGAAAAAATCTTAAAAGAAATAGATCCAACGAAAATCAGGCTCAATGTGAAAATCAACCTAAACCACGAACCCAGCACTGCAGTGAGCTGCTCACTGGCTGCTAGAAGACATCTGGGACCCAGCAGCACTAAGCCCGCCCAAATCCCTGGCAGAGAAGAGGCAGAGGCAAGGGAGGGCCACTCCCTAGGAGACTGAGCACCTGGGAAAGGAGAGCCCAGCCCAGCCCTTCACAGATGGAACAGTTGGGCTCAAGCAGGGTGTGGAGGCTGAGAGCTCTTGACCCTCTCAGAACCCTTCAGCAAACAGCCTGAGGCCTCAGGCAGGGAGAGTCAGCACACCCAGAACGGCTCAGGATCGTCCTGGCATGCTACCCCACCTGGCCTCCAAGCTGGGGCACAGTCAGCTGGAGGCCCTAAGTCGAGAATGGCTTTTACACTTCTAATAATTGAAAGGAAAACCAAAGACCATGCCACAGCAGCAGGTAGAAGCTGTACCATCTGGCCCTTCTTAGAAAAAGCATGTCTACTGCCCTGGGCCCCCCTCTGCCTCCCTGATGCAGCCCCTCACCTAAAAGCAGGGGGTAGTCCTCAGCCTCCAGCCATGGTGTGCAGACCTGGATGCACCGGAAACGCTTCTGGCTGATGAGGTGGATGTAATGTTCCTTCAGAGGCCCTTTGCCTTCACAGAGGAAAGTAGTCACTGCACTGGACTCCGCCACACGGCCTAGCCCCAGACACCCCAGACACAGCAGCCACTTCCAAGGAGCCCCACCCTTGGTATTCCTAGTCAGGACCCCTTCCAAAGACTACCCGAGGAGCCCGAGACCCCTCAAGGTGTGACCCCAACTGCCAAGACACAGCACTGCCACATGCAGCCAGGCAGCCCCAAGCTGCAAACAGGACCCCATAAACACTGGAGACGGTGCCAAGTGCACACGGGCCTGCCCTCTTCCACCAGGGTCCCCAGGCAGCACTGCATGAGCGGTGGATCCCAAGCCTACTCTGGGGACGCAGGGTCAAGAGGAAGGGGGTGAACATGATAGGGCAGCTGGCCCAGTCCTCCCGCTTCTCTTTTACCCTGTGGCTACGGAAGCAGTTTTATGTGGGACTGAGGGCTCTTTGCTTTTAAAACTACAGAGATGTGGGAAAACCACTGGGAAAGTGGAAAGCTTGGTAAATCTGAGGTTGTGCTATTCAAGATTCCAACCCAGACTCCATGCCCTGCCATAAGGAGGACTGATTCCCCTCTCTCAAGGAGCTAGGGATATAGCTCAATGGTACAGCGCTTGCACATCACCTGCAAGGCCCTAGGTTCCATCCCCACCATGGTTTAAAACCCACCCCAGAGAGTTGGCGTGGGGATTAATGAGTTGCTGCTATGTAGAAGGCTCTCGGGCAAGGTTGCCCCCACCCCCTCCAAAGTCCCCACCTAAATACAGGGGGTCAAGGTTCTTCCCACCTGAATAAAGGATGTTGAGGATGCGGGGCATTACCTGTTATCACACAGACTAAAGAAGGAAGGCTTTCTCCATCAGATGCCCATTGTTCAAACTCTGTTTTAAAAATAAAATAAATGCTATCCAGGATTCTCTTAGGTGCGGGACAGGGTGCTCCCATGCGGAGAACGCCCCCAGCCTGAGATGCTCCTTAACATCTAAGACCTCGTCACTCAACCACCCTGATGGGAACACAGCTCTGTACCCCACCCACTATGCCTGCACTGTCCTCAGGCTGGTCCACCCATGGCCCTGGGGTCAGGAGCACACTGCAGAAATAACATGCCCTGTAAGGCCAGGCGAGCTCACTGCTCAACCCGACAGTCAGTCCCAAAGTTCAGACCCAGCCACACACCTACTTTCCAATGCTGCCAGCAGGATAGAGAAGTCCTCGTCCTCTGCAAGAAGAGAAGTGAGCCTCACAGCCTGTTTCCAGGGCACCTCCTTCCCAGCTCCCAGACCACCCCTTTTTTCTGGTCTACAAGAACACAGCTTCCCCCAGGTCCCCAGTGTAGTGGGGGGCAGACCTGTCCAGCTTGTGCTGCTGACCAACAGCGCTGGCCGCCCACAAATACGCGTCACCATCCTGGTCTGAGCATCCCGCTCCGTGAAGGCTGACCTCTCTGTGTCTGGGTCCGAGGGTTCCGAGCTACAGTGGCAGAGAAAATAAAATGTACCCACAAGAAACACCTTGAGACCATAATGCTAAGTGAAACAAATAGCTACCCCAAGCTTAAATATCACAGATTCTCTTATATGAGAAACCCAGAGTTTAAACAAAGAGCAAAACAAAAGACAGCTAATAGGAAACACAAAGATTGATCTTTTGTAAATGGCAACGGGACTGAGAAGTGGAGGGGGAGAAGGACGAGAGTGGAGAGGAAAGGGAAGTAAAAAGAGTAACGATGTGTTACGTATGTGTGCCAACTCCCCATGATGCATGGAACCATTATGTACTGCAAACATGGACTAATAAAAGGAAAAATTAAAAAATAATACAGTGTCCCCCCAAAGTTCTCATGTTTTCACCTTCTGCAAGGTGACTGGACCAGGAGGGTGCTATACCCATCAATGGATTGGTCCACCAATGAGTTCATAGCCAAGTGTGCAGTGTGGGGCCTGGTTGGAAGAGGTGAGTCACTGGGGGGGTGGGGCTCCCTCCCCGGCTCCTCCCTTCCCCATCTGCTTCCTGGCTAAGGGTTGAGCAGTGTTCCTCCACTGTGCCCTTCTGCCACAAGGTTCCTGAAACCATGAGCCAATTTAAATCTCTTCTCCTTTAAGTTGTAGAGATCAGGTCATGCCTGTGATGAGAAGGCTAACACAGTCCCCTCCACCGTGGTGAGGGCCATGGGCTCCCAAGGCTGGGGCAACAAGCCATCTGGTGCTGGGTGCTGAGGTCACACAGCAAACAAGCCACTTGGTGTGCACCGGCATAGGGCCCACTGCTCTACCCTTATCATCAGGATGTGGGTTACAGAAAGACCCTGACAGGATGCAGAGAGGGCTGCAGTGGATCCCCTCCGTAGCCCGTGAAACACTGGGAGGACACAAAGGTCACAGAGCCCACCACAAGCACAGGAAGCTCTGGCAGGGGGGATAAGGGAGCACAGGGCTTGGCAAATCTTTCCTTAAAGGGCCTGAGAGTGAGGACTTTAGGCTTTGTGGACCAGACGCTCTGTGCTGCAAAACCCAGCTTCCCTGCTGCAGGCCACAGGAAGCCACAGACAAGAGAGTGATTGAGCTGTGTTGCAACAAAACTACAGAAACAGGCAGCTAGGGCCAGAGATTTAGCTCAGTGGTTCCACCGCCTGCCTCCTAAGTGCAAGGACTCAAGTTTGATTCCTGGTACCCCCCTCCCCCCGCCAAAAAAAGAAACAGGTAGCTCGCTGCAACCTTAGTTTGCTATATCCTGGATTAGTGTGTCCCCAAGTCTGCAGGGAGGGACAGGGGAGAGGTCAGGATAGCATGGCCACAAGGAAAGGCAGCTGAGGATGGAGACGCACCGGGCCCTAAACAGAGAGTGGGTGCGACCCAGCTTCATGAAGAGCTCGTGCTGCCGGTCCAGGGGTGTCTCCTTAAAGAAAGATGCTGGCTTGTCATAGACAGTCACAGCCCTGCAATGAGATGGGGACAGGGTGGAGAAGCCTAAGGAAGAGAGGACCCAGAAAAACAAGGGCACTTGCAGAAGCCCAGTGACAGCTAAACCTTTAGAATTACTTGGGAAAGCACACCGATGTTCTACCACCAAACTGCCTAGCAAAGAATCCACTCCCCATCACCTCCTCCCTCCCTCCCTCGTCTTCCCCAAACCAGTGGCCATTCCCTGGTGCCTGGGTAACTTCCACATGCCTCACCAAGGTGACATAACGGGCACTGCAGTTCTCAACCAACCCTGGGGCCCCACTCCACCCTCAAGACATCAAGCGTCCAGGGCGCCCCCACACCTGATGCACCAGTTCTTGGCCAGGTCCTCCCGCATAGCATTGGTCACACAGAGGTTCAGGTGGGACAAGCGCCCAAAGAATTTCTCATACCTGCAGAGACATATGGGGTCACCACAGAGACCTAGTTGGGCCCTATATGCCACCATGCATGCCATCCACATGCCTCCATGCTCCTCATCCCAGGAGGGGCTGCAGAGCTGGGGTCACCCAACCTGCCAGAGTTCTCACTCCCTGAGTCCCTCTGCACCTTACTTTTTCCACACCTTCCTCATGTCATGCCACTCTTCAGCATAAAAGGAGTCACTTCAAAAGGAAGCTGCATACACTGCTGGAGTGAGATCCAGCCTTTTGTATAATGAAGAGGAGAAATATGACAAAGGCCGTGTATCAGAACCTCAGCTGCCCTGTGCCAGTGGAAGCCGTGCTCGCTCTCAGTGTGTACAAAGAAATGTAGTAAATGTCAGAGAGGTGTGAGGCAAATGCTGGCTCCAAACCAAGGCTAGAGCCCAGGTCTTAGGGGGTAGAAAGGGAACAGTGATTCAAGAGAATCTAATGCCACCAGAGTATCACTGGCTTTTCTTCTCTACAGAGGCAGAGAAAGCTCTGGAATAGGACGGCTGGGTGAATCCTCTTATTGCCTCCATGGTAAGAGGCAACATCACTCTCTGCCCAGCTTTCCTGACTTGCAAAAGGACTTTCCTGACCATGAGGCAGTGGGAAGCAAATGGGAGAGATGGGTCTGGTCTGAGGCCTGTATACAACAGATACTCAGGGACTGTTCGGAGCGCCACAACTACTGTCACCACCAGCAATAAACAAGGCTGTAAGAGTAAAGGCCACAGCCACTGCCAGCCTTTGGCTGGAAGTGCACATTGAGGCAGGTACTACACTCAGGCTCCGAGTAGCTGACAACTCCCCCTGCTCCCCAGGCTCTCTCCTCTTCCCACTTACTCTCACAGGGCGTTAGGGAGGTACCTGCACCCTCCTCCCAGACTCTCACCACTTGGCCAGCAGGACAATTGGGTGTGTGGCACCGTGCACCAGGGCCATTATGGAGTAGCCGTAGTTGTGCCAGTCGATGACCAGTTTGCTCCCACACAGGCAGCCCACCAGCCAGCAGACAGAAATGCTCGGCAGGCCTGGGGGATTCTAGGAAAGAGAAAGGCTTGCTGCAGAAGAGGAAATCCACACCATGCTCCATAGACACCTGAGTGAGAACACTCACCACACACTTAGCAAAGAGACATGTGTCTTTACGGAGCTCTAGATAACCAACAGGCAGAAAAAAGATCCTCTCTGCCACCAAAGAAAGGTGTAAAAACTCAAAAGCAACAGAACTAACCAATAATCAAATTGTCCATAAAGACGAAATAAAAGAATGAAACAAAGATATGCTATTTTCCACTACCAGAACATAAACTTTAAAGCCCAACATCAACTTGCAGTGGTAAACATGGCAGAGAAGAGGAACAACTGGGCCTAACCCTACTGTAAGGCTAGCCGGTAGCCTATCATAACATTTTTAAAGTGCATAAACTTTCACCAAGCAATTCTATAGCCGACAATTTATGTCAAGGAAAAAAGCTGAACCCATGACACAGATGTATGTTCATTATACTGTCAGCTACATTCGTCGTAAAGGTTAAAATAAAAAGTGGTAGAGTGTTGGCCTAGCACACATGAGGTGCAAGCACCAAAAACAAACTCAAAAAGGTCAGGAAGATTTTGAGTATCTGTCAAAATGAAACTAAATAAGCTCCATTACATGTTGGAACTCAGTGCATCCCACTAAAAGATGCTTCTATAGGTTAAAAACTGGTGAAGGTTCAAAATGTAACCTTCTAGAATCAGCCGGACTACCTAGGTTCCAATCTTGACTCCACCACTTCTTAGCTGTGTGATGATGGGCCAGTTATTGAACCTCTCTAGGTCTAGGTTTTGCCATCTCAAAAGCCTAAGTATTGTAAGAACCTACTCTTAGGGATCTTTAGAGGGCTGATGAGGAGATACGTGGGAAACACTTAAGTAGTAAGTGCAATGTAAGACTCCATCTGTAATGACACAGAAAAACACTATGAATGGGGACCATAAATAGTATGAATACAAACTCATAAGGTCCTACTCATGATTGTAAAAGTTTATACCCAGACATGAATATGCAATTTATTTACCAATTTGTGCATTTTTTGTGTGTGGTACTGGGAATCAAGCCCAGCACCTCACAAATGTAAGCATATAGTCAACTACAGCTACACTACTCGGGCCAATTTGTGCATTTATAAAAGGATGGAAAGAAAACTGTTAACAGAGGTTCCCAGAGAGGGAAGCAGGGATTGACACATACCTGGAGAAAGATGTAGGCTGCTGGCTCCGTCCACATCAGTTTCCATAGCAAGTACACTGCTTGAAACACAACTTTGAACCCATATCGGAGAACCCGGGGCCCAACTGCAAGATAGAAAACACCTATCGTTACCAAAGGAGCTCCTAGTAATCTACCCATTTTCCCACAAATAACCCCCACAGAGTCAGAGCAATGTGGAGTTGATTTCCTCCTACCTGCAAGACCCTGAAGTTCTGTCAACTTCACGACTTGAATTTTGTCACTCTCCAAGAGCTCACTGTGGGGTTTGGAGTCTGTGAATGAAATGTAAACAAACATGCCCTTTAATGTACTAGATGTAGCAATCTAAAGTCAGATAATTCCACAATTCAAGGCTGAATAATGAAAGTGTTTTTGGAAAACGAGACTCAAAAAAATCTCTCTGTTCATCAGTAGCCAGACAGAGAACAAGGTTAATTTTTGTCCAGATTACACCAGAATACTCAGAGGGAGAGCCCAGATCTGATCCAATACCTGTATTCAAACCAGACCTGATATACAGTAGGAATTCAAACTGACCAAGACTCTATAGAATTGTGGAATTTTCCCACCACTGGGACATGCCTAGGATGTCCCATTCCAACATCATCGTGGGATAGTAAGCACAGGGATCAAAGGCAACGAGTGCTGTTCCTACTGTTTCCTGAGATGGACTTGAGTCGCCCTCTAAGCCATCTACGTGGAGCAAAATGAACAAGCAGACACTCTTGCCTGCACATAGGAAGTGAAACACCCCTAGCCTGCACTGAGAAATAAGGACTGGGAGAAGTTATGTTGCCTGTCAGCTCAGACACAGCCTGAAAGGGGTAGCTACACACTGATGTGGTTGCCAGATTCTCCCAATCCCAGACTTTTCATCTCCTAGAATTAAGTGAGACTATGCAACAGAGGCATTTAACACAGTCCGGACAAATAGCAAGCGCGGGATTATCACCAGCTGTCCAGACCAGCTCCTCCAGCCTGGAAGAACTGCCCAAGGGAAAACAAAAGGGCTGCTTCTCCTCGGCCCCCTGCGGCGGTCAAGACCAAAGGTCAGCACTAGGTGAGGCCTCCCTCCCAAACCCTGGGGGACTCACTGCAGAACCCCAGAAGGGTCACGGAGAAGCCCGACTTAGCCAAGGACAGCGCGTGGTACTGCATGCGGGGACTTCGGCCCACGTCCCCCAGCACCAGGACCACCACGTGCCGAGCCGCGCGCCCACGCTGCCAGCGTTTCCACACGCCAAGCAGCAGTAGCGGTAGAAACAGAGACAGCAACAGCAGCAGCACAACCACACAGGACGCCGCCATCTTGGCCGGCCAGGGGGGTCACGTGACCCGACAGTGTAGCCGGGAATGCTCTGCGCAGCCGCAGACCGAGGCTATTGCCTGGAGGAAGACACGGGTAAGGTGATTCCTTAAGTGGGGTCTGGAGGACCTTGGAGGATTCCTTGGAAGCCAAGTAGCATATACACACTTGCGAGGTTCCCTAAACTGTGTACTTCCGGTATTAAAGTCACGATGTTTCTTTACTGGGATTTGGGTACTTCTTTCAGAGTTCTAACAATTTCAAAATACAGCGAGACAAGAATTTTGATTTATCTCAGCCAGGTGTGGTGGTTCACGCAGGTAATCTCAGCTTTCTAGAAGGCTGAGGTAGGAAGATCACAAGTTCGAGCACAGCCTAGGCAATTTAGCAATTTAGGGAGACTCTGTCTCAGTTTTTTAAAAAATTGTTTTAAAAGGGTTGGAGATAGAGTTCAATGGGAACACCTTTGTTTCTAGCCCCAGTGATGCCAGTTATCATCATCATCATCATCATCATCATCATTCTGACAAATCTCTTAACGGTTATATTGAGAAAAGAAGCCGGACGTGGAAAAGTACAAGCTGCAGGTTTCTTTGTACAAGTGAAAGCTAATCTTGCTGTTAGAAGTTAGGACGAGGCCATGGAGGCTGGGCAGGACTGGTCATATGGGAAAATAAAAAATAGCAGGGAAAAGAAAGTAAACCTGGAGGGCCAGAAGACCCAGGGAAAATGTACAGACCTGGCCAGCAGCTTCAGGGATTCCCCCAGTGACCCGGTGAGAGACAGCCATAGGGAATTGCCATGGAGAAGGTACAGGCAAGACATAGACCAGTGAGATATTTAAACTCAGCCCGGGAAGGACATGGGCCCTGCACTCCATTGTAGAAAATCCAGGCCTGGCAAGTGTTGACCGTAAGCCCAACAGTCTGCTCAGATTTCCACCCTGCAGCCTACATCCAATGAAGACCAGAGAGATGATTGCTTTTCCCATCTACCAATGTGAACGAGGACCCACCTTGGCTTGAACAGTTACCACACACTGGACAGAGGGGTGTCTGAAGCAAGGAGGGCACCTTATAAACCCACAGGCCCTAAAGATAGGTGATAAAGTTGTAATTTTCTGGATCCCAAGCCTGCATATCCTGGAAAGACACCACTCATTTAAAAACAAGAAAATTTTTACTGTTTTTATTATTATTATTATTATTATTATTATTATTATTATTATTCCTTTCCTTCCTTATCTTTAGGGGAAGAGGGGATTTCCTCCCTTTCCCACCTTATAACTTTTTTCTTTCTTCTTTTCTTTTTACATATTTTCTTTTCCTTCTCTATTCTTTGACAATTTTCTAATACTGTCAGTTTATCTTTAAACCTCAATAGGATCCACCATCTCATTTTTCTCTTCGCATCTTACACTGATAAATTTTTTTCAAACTTTAATTTTTTCATTCTCTGGTTCCCCACACCCTCATCCTTTGCTAGTCCAACGATTAGACTATGAATCTTTAGATAACTAGTTAACTCTATGCTATGCGGAACACTGTTCTATTGTTAGTGAAGGTAAAGTTGTTCCATTTAGTAGATACTTACTGCAGGTAAATTGTTTTAGTGATTATATAATAAATATAAATCTCTTTTTGATGGGGAGAGGTGGTAATTATTGGACCATCTATGGCTTGTATCTAGATACCCCCCCAAAAAGCTTCATGCAGTCATAGGTGGGGCTTTTCATAGGTGGATGGATCTAGAGTGTGTGGTGATGCTGGGATTAAGGATGTGATGCTGGGATTGATTCATAGTGTGATGTAAGATTAAGGGTGTCCCCCCCGGGGTGGGCCTTTAGGGCAGGTGTAAAGAACAATGTAAGGAACAGAAAGAGAGCTACTACTATAGCTTACTATTTGCTGCTTTTGCTGCTTTCTTCCTGTCTTCAATGGTTTCTCCTCTGTGATGCCCTTCTGCCATGCCACCCTGCCTTGGAGCCAGCTGACTGTGGACTGAAACCTCTGCAAACTGTGAGCCAAAATAAACCTTTCCTCCTTTAACTTCGGGTGTTGGGTATTTTGTCTCAGTGATGAGAAAAGTAACTAAGATAGTAGGGTAGGTCAGTATCCAGTTTCTCTTTGACACTATTATTGTTGCTGATTTTATTACTGTAGCCAAGGGGTCATAGTTGTTGCTGTTAATTGATTTTCTCTATATGTCAATATCTGGATTGCCTTTGTGTCATTAACAATATTGTGTCCTGTTTCAGGAGAACTAGATAGTGGGCTGAATACACTGCAGCCTCCCATCCCAAATAAGTGAAGGTGGTTGAATTCTGGGACAGAGGCAAAGTTAGCCACGCTCAGAGACAGTCACTGAAGAGCAAGCATTAACTAAAGAAGTCTCGGTACTAGCAACAAAGCATTGTGTTATTATCAACCTGCAAGAACTAGCACACACACAAAAATCAAATAAAAACTAGAAACATAAGACAAGGCAACAAAATGCCTCCAAGACCTCCCAACTCCCCCAAAGCTGATAGATACATGGGCATCAAAGGGAGTGAATCAAAAGCCACACAGCTGAATCATTCAAAAGAATAATAGAGGAGATTGAAAAAAAAAATCAGTGAGGCACTTGGTGAGCTTGAAGAAGATATAACAAAATAGATAATGGAACTAATAAATATAATGACTAGTGAGTCTGCATAGAACACTAATAAAAAAACTAGCTGTTCTAAGCAAAATATACAAGGCATGAATGTCCAGAATAGAAAAGAATTAGACTGCATAAAAAGCTACCAAACAAAAAATCAGGAAATGAAAACTTCTAATAAAAGTATAGGCAGTAGTGTCCAGTGTCAGAACTAGAAGGACAGAGTATCAGAACTAGAAGACAGAGTTGCTGTCAGAGACAGATTAATGACAAATATCCTAAAAACAACAAGAGAAAATGGAAAATATATCCAAGAGCTGCTAGATGATGCAAAGAAGACTTAAGATTATAGTAAGTCCCCAACTCATGAATAAGTTCCATTCCAAGAGAACATTCATAAGTCAGATTCATCTGTAGGTCTGACAAAGTCTTATACAACTTTGACACAAATATACAATGTAAAGCATTTAAAAACCACACACACACACACAAAAAAAAAAACTCTACATAAAACTATTTTTATTTTTACAGTTACCTTAAAATGGTGGTACAAGGTTGGGGTTGGGATGAGTGACCTCCATGATTGTTTGCATCTCTGAATGTTCATAATGCCAAACCCATTCATATCTGTGAAAGTTCTCAACTAGAATGTTTGTAAATCGAGGACTTACCATAATTGGATTTAGTGGAAAATCAGAAGATAGCACAAATGGCATTTAAAAAACCTATTTACTGAAATAATCACAGAAAAGTTTTAAATATGGAAAAGGAACTTAACATACAGATAACTGAGGCATATAGAATCCCAAATAGCCATGATCAAAAAAGAACCTCTCTGTGGCACATCCATCTTAGTCAGAGTCCCAGAAGTCTAACCCAGGAAAATAAGCTCGATAAATGCTCAGAGAAAAATCAATGAATTACTTATAGAAGTAAGCCCATTAGAATTACAGCAACTTCTCAATGCTAAACTTAAAAGCCAGAAGCATTTAGAGTGAAGCATTTCAAGCCTTAAAAGAGAACAACTTCCGATGCAGACTAATAGATAGATAGAAATACATATTGCTATCTTTCAAAATTGATGGAGAAATACAATATTTCCATGACAAAGGGCATCTGAAGAAATTCATGATTACCAAACCAGCACTCCAAAAATTCTTAAGGTTATTCTAGAAAGAAACAAGAGGCTAACAATGACAAAATGTCTAATAGAATGAACATACCAGGTAGGGTGAAAACTTAAGTGAAAGAGAAAGGAAGGGAATCAGCAAAAGGAAAAGAATGACAATTATTAGCAACTACTTTACAAAACTATGTGTCAATAAATTGGAGAATTCAGAAGAAATGGGTAATTCCTAGATATATATGAATTACCAAAACATAACCAAAAATATAAAACCTGAATAATCCAATAACAGGCAATGAAATTCAAGTAGTAATCTTTAATTAAAATTTTCTTAATTAAAATTAAGAAAAGCCCAAGTCCAAATGAACTTGATGCTGAATTCTGCAAGAACTTCAGGGAAGATGTAGATACTCCTCAAGTTTTTTGCTGAAATTGAACAGGACGAAGTAATCCCAAAGTCATTCTGGAAACTAGCATTACCCTGATTTCAAAATCAGACAAAAATCCAACTAAAACAGGGAACTATAGGTCAATAACTTTAACAAATACAGATGCAAATATCCTCAACAAGATACTGGCAAACAGAATACAACAAATCATCAAAAAGGTTATACATCATGACCCAAGTAGGCTTCACCTCAGGGATGCAAGGATGATGGTTCAGTGTAAGAAATCAATAAATGTAAGGCATCACATAAACAGAAGCAAGGACAAAAATCACACAATCATCTCACTAAATGCAGGAAAACCCTTTGAAAAATCCAACATTCGTGGATGATTTTTTTTTAAAAACCTGAAGAAAATGGGTATAGAAAGACCTTATCTCAATCTGATAAAAGTCATTTGTAACAAACCTACCGCCAACATCATATTAAATGGGAGGAAACTGAAAGCTTTCCCCCTAAAATCAGAAACAAGGCAAGGATGTCCACTATCAATACTCCTGTTGAAAATAGTACTTGAAGCATTAGCTAGAGCAATCAGGCAGAAAAATAAAAGAGATACATGTAGGAAAGGAAGAAGTCAAATTATCATTATTTGCAGATAACATGATCCTCTACATAGAAGGACCAAAAAAATACCAAAAGACTCCTACAATTAATAACCAAATTTAGCAATGTCTCAGGATATAAATTGAACACACAAAACAATCCATAACATTCTTATACATCAATAATAAACTAACCAAGAGAGAAATTAGAGAATGATGCATTTGGCAATAGCATCCAGGAAAATGAAATACATTGGAAGTAACCTAACCAAGGAATGAAAGACTTCTAAAATGAAAACTACAGTACTCTGAAAAAGGAGATCAAAGGACATCAGAAAATGCAAAACAGGCCTGGGGATTTAGCTCAGTGGCACCATGCCTACCTCACAAGCACAAGGTCATGAGTTTGATCCCCAGTACCCCCCCAAAAAAAAGAAAAGAAAATCAAAACATATCCCCTTCTCCTAGATAGGCAGAACCAATAATGTTAAAATGGCCATACTTCCAAGACTGATACACAGATTTAATGCAATCCCAATCAAAATACCAACTACATTCCTCATAGAAGTGGAGAAAACAATCCTAATTCACGTGGAACCAGAAGAGACACAGAATAGCAAAAGCACTTCTGGGTAACAAGAGCAAAGCAGGTGGCATCACAACCCCAGATTTCAAGTTATATTGCAAAGCTACAGTGATTTTTTTTTAAAAAAAACAGTATGATACTGGCACAAAAACAAACATGTGGATCAGTGGAACAGAATAGGTGATGCAGAAACAACCTCAAGTGCATGCAGCTATTTGATCTTTGACAGAGGGGCCTAAAACATCCTGGAGAAAAGGCACTCTTTTAATCAGTGGTGCTGGGAAAACTGGTTATCTATATGTAGAAGATTGAATCTGGATCCATATCCATCACATGTACTAAATTTAAATCACAGTGAGCCTACTTGTCTCAGTCAGTGCTTACTAGAGAAACAGATGTAATGCAAGTTATACAAATATAGAAGAATTTACAAGATTGGCCTACAAAGGCCACCCACAGACTCAGGTGTGGAAGAATGCGAAATGTCTGCCTGCACGCTGGAGACCCAAAGGACCCAGACAAAGGCCTGGAGCTAATGTAGTGCCCCACGCAAATTCATATCAGAAGTCCAGGGAGTGTGCAATGGAAGGATGAAGGGTCTGCGCTGGAAGCCAAGAGATGCTGTCCAAGGTGAAGATGAAGACAGGAGCGCCGCTGAAGAAACAAGCGATCTCTGTTGCACAAGAAATAGCACCAAGAATCAATAAGTGAGATCATATCAAATTCAAAGTCTTCTGCTCAGCAAAGGAAACAACATCAGCATTAAAATTTCCGTGGGAAATAGATGTGTGCTGCTGCTACACGATATGAATAAGGGATCTGGGTGTTCCAGGTCAAGGTGCATATGCCGGCAGAGCCCTGAAATGTGCCCAGTTGAAGGGAATGGGGAAGGGGACGTTGCCGGAACCGCAGCAGTGGGTCCTGGCCTCCTGTGAGCCACTACAGCACAAGCAAAATTAAAGAATAGAGACAGGAAATGAATCTTAGAGAGAAGCTGGGTCTTGGGACCTGACCAATGCTGCTCTGGTTAACAAAGACAAAGGCCCCCAAGCACATCCAGTATCTATTGAATACAATTGTGGGAAGGAATAGGGAGCCAGATATGCTTTGAAGTCATCTAATGAAATACTGTCAAACACCTGGCATGATGGAGCCCAGTAGGGCTGTTAGGGAATAAACACTGCTTATCTTGCTTTGATAGAATAAGGGACAGGGTGCAAGCAACCCATCAGGTCATAACTAGCCATCAGGATGGCAACCCATCATTAGCCATAATTCAGGGGAAAGGATTTTAATTGAGGTCACTCTGACCTCAGCTGCACATATCTCAGCAGAGCCCTGCAACTTCACAGACCAGGGCCTAGGTCCCCATGGCAGCCATTGGGGGAAGAGCTAGACTAGCCCAGTCCACCATCTGACATGCCCATTTGAGTCACATAGAGCTTCGGTCTGACTCCTGATGTAAAACAATGTAGCCAAGGGCTGGGGATTTAGCTCAGTGGTGCTACTGCCTGCCTCACCAAGCGCAAGGTCCCAAGTTCGATTCCCAGTACCAAACAAACAAATTATGGAAAGCAAGAGGCAGGTACCACTCATACCCTTCTAGTACTGGGCAGGGATGTCCACTACACCCAGTCAGAACTGAAATGTGCTGCAAGTGTAAAATTGCTCACCCGATTTTTTTTTTAAATCATGGGTTTTGTTTTTCCCCCTCACTATGGGAAGAAATGACATAATATGAAAATTAATAGTTTTTCTACTGATTACTGTTGAATGATATTGAGTATATTGGGGTCAAATAAGATATTTAATTTCACCTGCTTCTTGACTGGTAGGTTGTTTTTTTTGTTTTTGTTTTTTGCTTTTGTGGTACTGGGGCATTCTATGCTGAGCTACACTCCCAGCCCTTTTTATTTTGAGACAGGGTCTCACTTAGTTGCCCAAGTATGACTCAAATGTATTAATCCTCCTGTCTCAGCCTCCCTCTGTGCTGGGATTACAGGCATCATTGCTTTTTTTTTTTTTTTTTTGAAGCAGTCTCCCTTTGTAGTTCAGGCTGGCCCTGAACTCACTATGTAGCCCAGGCTGGTCTTGAACTCATGGTAATCCTCCTGTCTCGGCCTCCCGAGTGCTGGGATTACAGGTGTGCACCACCACGCCCAGCCATCAATGCTTTTTTGAAATGTGGCTAGTGGACAATTTTGAAAGGCCCAGATGACTCACCTCTGTGGCTTGATTCTATTTCCACTGGACAGTGGCCCTCCAAGAAAGCCTTCAAAGAGAGGTGTGGCAGCCAATGAGTTTGTTCCCCACTTCTTTTCCAATACACTTTGCTTTTCAGGGCTTTTGAATTTCTGAGTTGTAAGTGACGTTTCCAGGTCAATGATGGAGAATCTGGGACCAGAAGGACAGGCAAGTTCCTCTCCCCACTGGGAAGCCAGTGGGCTCCATGTCCAGGACTTGCCTGATCTGGCTATGACTCCCCCGAGCCTTTTGTCTTCTGCAGCACCCTGTCCAGAGCTCTCTGCTGTGCCAGGCCTTGGAGGAAGGGGTGGGCAGAGGGCGGGTCGAAGCACCTGGCAGAGAGCTCCCGTTGCTACAGGATGTGGTCAGCATGACCAGAAAGTCAGTCATGGCCAGGCCAGGGCTAGTGCTCCTTCTACTGCTGTCCCCACTGTCGCTGCAGCCCTCCTCACTGTCACAGCTGGACAACACCGAGGGCAAGGCCACCCTCGGGGGCCTGATCCTGTCTGCCCTGGAGAGAGCCACCACATTCCTGGAGGCACGGCTGCCTGAAATCAACCTGGACGGTGTGGTGGGGTTCCAGGCGCTGGAAGGTGAGTGAACCTGTATCCCGGCTGTATCCCATTGTGGAAACCAGTTCTTGGCCATGTCCCCTGCCCTGCTGTGACCCCTGGCACCTGGTAACCTCCTGGCATCAGAATGGGCTGCTTTGACTATGAGTGGAGAGAGGAGGGGGCTGTGTTCTCTGTTGTATAGGGCTTAGCCAGCTGTTATCAAATGTTTTAGAAGTAGGAAGGATTTAAAGGCAACATGAGAAAAGATTTGAAAATTATATTCTTAGAAGGAAGTGATCCATTGACAACTGCCATCCAACACACCATGAATGAGGGGTGGAGGGAGCCCCTTTAGTGGGTATTGATGGGAAGGCTGCTCCTATTGTGTAAGGGTAGTTGGGAGCAACACCGAAACCCTGAGTTCCTACCTGGCTTCCTCCACTGCCAGCCAAAGGCCCCTGAAGGTCCTGAGAACAGAGCTCAGTGTTTATTTAGCCTTGACAGATATAAGATCCTTAAAGAGCAGGCTGGAGCCAGGCCAAGGCCGGCCAGGAACATGCACACATGTTCAAGGAGCCACTCCCCGTGGGCCACCCTTACCAAAGTGAGGTCCTGGGGATTAAATCCAGGGTCTTTACACCGAGCTACATCCCCAGCCTTTTTTTTTTTTT